AGCCAATGTCACACAGAGAGTCAGGACACTGCTTGGTGGCAGCTCGGATCACTCCCTCCGCCCTCTTCCCTACTGAGCCCCAGTGCTGATGTCGTGACCCAGGAGGTGACAAATGGACTGCCCCCATTGGTGAAAGGTCAATACTGCAGCGCAGGGTCAAGTGTTCCTCACAGTTCACTGCACTATTCATATTCCCCCTCTCCCCCCCACCAAGCTAAAAACAACAGTCTTTTGACTTTCCTTAGAGTTAAAGGACTGCCTGCATCACATTCTCTAAAAAAACAAAACAAAAAACAAAACAAAAAAACAAAGGTGACTATGCTGCACAATGCTCCATCTTCCAGGCTCAGAGTAAGCACCAGGCATTTTGTGTGTGTGTGTGTGTGTGTGTGTGGGCGAGTAGTATGCCTCCCTATTAAAAGCGTACAAAAGCCTTGAAAGGTCTCCAGAGACGAGTGACCGGCCTTAAGCTGGGAAAAAGATGTTTGTGGCCTGGAGTAGACTGTTGTTAATGTGCATACTTGGAGGAAATGAAAATAAAGTGGAAGGTAAAGTGCATCTTCCAGCAAATCTTAAAAAAACAAACAAACAAACAAACCCTGCTTTCTGAAACTCATAGACACCTGTCCCTTAGTGATTGAACGTCTCCGTCTGCAGCGGCTGCTGCTTTCCTACACAATGAATCTAAAGATTTTTCAGATTTTATTTTTTTATTATTTTCTTTGCTTTTTTGTATCTAGTGCCTCAACGTACTAGGAAACAGCGGGCTGCAGCGCTGTGCTAACATGAAACGATTACAGCCATAGATATAGTCAGTAAAAAAGGTGTAAAAAAGGTGGCCAATTGTTAAATCCAGAATTGAACCCCTAGTAGTAGAATTCTGTCATAAATTATAAAGTAAAATTTTATGGGTTTTGTTTTATTAAATACAGTCGTATTAAAAGCGGAAAACAGATGAAGCCCTATGGAAGACAACATTCAGTCAACACTGAAGTGTGACAGACAGATTTTTGGAAAGTGATGTCATAGGAAACTGTCCTATCAGAGTCACCTACTGCCAGACTTTAATATTTAAAGTTACAAAATGTGTGTAAAGTATACATTTGAATTGTCTCCTGTCATGTCTTATCATCTTTTTTTTTTGTTAAATCTGAACTGGATTATAATAATAATAAAAAAAATCAATTTCAATCCTGACAATCAAGCAGTTTAAATAAGAAAGTTTTCAGTTATACAAATGTAAAATAGGAAATGGTTACAGTAAGAAAACAAATATAATATAATGGGGCCCTAAACATACGGCCCGTGGGCCAAAACTGGCCCGCTTGAGGATTCAATCCGGCCACTAATATACTTATTTGCAGGAAAACAAAAGGGGAAAACATGGACGTATTATTATTTATAGGTATTTGTGTTATGAGTGTTATTATTTATAGGTATTTGTGTTATGATTGTACTGGTCCAGCCCACTTGGCATCTATTTAGGCTGTATGTGGTCCCTGAACCAAAATGAGTTTGACACCCCTGCCATAAACAATCAAACTGACAGCTTCTCTACATTTGTCCTGGTTACTTCCTATGATGCCAGTCAGTTAAATCCATTTGTTTTATATGAACTTTTGGTCTCAAGAACTCCATTCCCGTCAATGTGTTTGACCAATCCCTTCATTTTAACTATGTTTTTGGGGAATTTGTGAACAGCTCAGGATTTTGTCCTAGAACCTTTGGACATTTTGTACCTTGACCAGACCCCCGACCACCTTCTCCAACTCAGGCTAATGTAACATCTGCTCTGCCCAGTGGTAACCTTTCATCACATTGTGTCCACTGCTCCCAGTAACACCTCTGTGATGTTATCATAAGGTCACTGCCTCGAACGGCATCACGTGTAGTTCAGTGAGCACGGCATCGCTGCTAAACATCTGATTTGACTGCTATCTGTGTCATTTACACCGAGCCACCCCAGGGGAAACGGTTAGCCCAGATATGGAGTGCTGTACACAGTGAAGTAAATGGGAATCTCCAACGACAACAACAACAGCTATTTTTCAAAACCTCCATGAGCTTATGAAATGAGGAAAGATCAATTATAAAAATATTTTAAATAGAAGCCATGACCTGAAAATGTCCAGTAAATGGATAGATAGACTGTGGCAGCAACAACTCACCATGACAGGTGTAAATACGCAACTGGCTTTACTATTATTATTATTATTATCAACACTTTTATTCCCTTTGATATCATATACAGTATCAGAATACTGAATCGTAAAGAAGTACTGTTGTCATTGATACTGTTGTAATTGTTCTCATTAGTAGTATTGTTGTTGAAGTAATTTTTAATTGTTGTTGTTCTTACTTTTAATATTAGTAGTAGTAAATGTATCAGTACCAAGTCAGTAGTAGTAGTATTGTGTAGTTTTTGTTTATACCGTGTAAATTAGTAATAATGTAATTAGTATTGTCGTCACCATTATTATTATTATTAGATGGATAGATAGATAGATAGCACTTCATTAATCCCTCGGGAGTTCCCTTCGCGGAATTTAGGACATTATTATTATTATTATTATTATTATTATTATTATTATTATTATTATTGTTACTACTACGGCGTCCGTTTTGAGCCAGCTCGGAGCGGTGGCTGCTGGGTTTTCGGGTGATTGTCCGGCACCTGTGCCAATCACAGTGTCTGTAGGAGGAGTTGAAGGACTCGGAGGTGTGTCTGAAGAAAACGACTCTCCAGCTGCACAGTGTTTCCAACTCCGGGAGTAATGGTATGATTACTGCTTTACGCTGTTTAGACAAGCTGTACGGTGCTCGGTTGTTTTCCCGCCCTTCCTCTGCCGGTTACTGCTCCCACGTTAGTCACACTTGGAACCGCCGAGCTCCGAGAGACGAGGCGTAGAAGAGTCGAACAACCTGCAAAACTTAGTCACAAGCGGCCAAAGTCCCTCAAACTTACTAGCAGGAGAAGAGGTTTTTACTCGTAGACGACTCACCCCCCCGTGACTTGTTTCAGTGGAGGATACGCCGCTGGACATGTGAATTTAAAGGAGATAGATGCCAAGCACAACAATGAACCCAACGAGTGTCCTGTGTGGCTTCGGCTTTTTCCTCAGTTGCCTGGTGCTCGGGTCCGGTTCTTCTCAGTCAGGTGAGTGGACGCCGTCAACGCACTTGCCCGAACTGTGAATTGCCTGAATATAAAGCTGGTCAGTCAGTGCGCCACGGTTCCTCCATCCTTTGCGCACAGTTTTGTGTTCAGTATGAAATGGCTGTGGTTCGTTTTACGCACGCAGTCAGAAAAGACAGGCTGCTGTGATTTGTTATTTCATTTTTTACTGCCAAGATTGAATGATGTGCTGGAGGAGCTGCGGGGGTGTGGAGGTGCGTGTGCAGGGCAACCACGCAGGTGACTCCCGGTGCAAATTGCTGATTGAATGCAATGTTGTGTTAAAACTGATTGAAGCGAAGTAGTTGCTCCGGCTGTATCGTGCACAAAGCGGCACTGTTGAATTAGGGGAGAAATGAGTGCATGACACTCAAGTGTGGTGAAACAAACCTAGATTTACAGCTATCGAAGGCATTTTTCTTTTTCAATCTGCTGCAAAACTTGCATTTTAAAAAATCAATCTCTCTGCCCCGAGCAAAGACGAGAAACGCATGTAAATGAAAATAAACAAGCGCTGTCTGTGCATCTTCTTTTGGGTTTGAATTAGGTTTTAAATGGCGTCGGATTTAGTCCAACAGTTCCACAGCTCGTACGAACTCATTACTGAGTTTTAATGACAAATAATAAAAAACAAACTTTCCATTTGAATGTCACGGAGGGACTCGTTCACCAACAGTCTGTCATTGTTCAGCCTCAGTGCCGGACTGTGTGCTTCCAGCACCTGGTACGGTTTCATTCACATGCAGTGATATGGAGGATAAAACAAAGCGGATTAGCGTGAAATGACATTATTTCTCCTTTTTACGAAGTGAAGCCCCCCTCAGGCAGCTTCTGGACAGCAGTTTGACGACCTGTGCCAGAGCGCACCGACACTGTGGCAGTGGTAGTACCGCTTCCACAGCGCAGCGGCGCTCTTTACGCACAGGCTGGGATTTCCAGGTGCGCTTAGGAACGGAATGGTGTGTGTTGATGTGTTTGGTTGGCTCTCTCTCTCTCTCTCCCTCTCGCTCTCTATCTCTCTCTCTCTGTCTTTGTGAGAGAGAGGGGAAATAAGACTTGGTTCTAATGCACAAACACCGCTTCCTTTACCCACGTGTCTCATGAAAACTGTGATTTTAACGGGTCCTCGCTCAGAATTTCATCCTTATAATTTGTGTAAATTGCTATGTAGAAGATTTTTTGGGGGGTTATGGGTGGAAAAAAAGCACTGGTGACATGGTTAGTGTTGAAGATTTTATTCTC